CGTTTTGTACCGGAGAGCCACATCTGATCAAACCAAGCAGGCAGAGCTGTGCTGTTTCTGAGGAGAGGAGAGGCTTCACACACTTCAGTGTTTTAATATCTACTGGATATTTTATCATCATCTGATGTATATGATATCCAAGTGGAATAATTATAAGATTTCAAGTGATGTGCCAAAATGTCTGAAATGTGAGGCCATTGTTAACGTCCTTTAACCTGCACTTTTACTTAAAGCCAGCAGGGGGAGATTCTGCAAGTGGCAAAAAGAGGTCAGATTGCATTCAAGTGAATAAGAACCTACTTCTCACTTGAATTATAACAACAGTCAACATATGTCTAGGTGTTGATCAGAAGTTTCAACCCTTCTTTAGCACAACATGATGTTCACTCTTCAGAAAATAAAGCAGGGTTTATTTGTGGTGGATGCTACCACAGAGACATGACCATCAGTCACTGACTGTAGAGAGAGCTAGTATGTGATCAAACAAAGATTTATGTTTTCCAAAAACTACGGTGGCCTTCAATAAATAAAGACACATGCTGCACAAAGCCGAAATGAAAGCATTAACATCAAATATGCAGCAAATACATAAACAATGCAAAAATCAAATAGATGTACATATTCAGAAAACAACTGCAAATAGACAAACACTGCAAATCCAGTGTTTAACAGAAGTGCTCCAGTGTGGCAAAAGAACCACCCTTTTTTCCTCTCTAAAGTCAACGTGGACTTCATTTGGTCTCTTGGGGGTACCGGGCCTTATAACTCCAACCTCTCGATGATCCAAAACCCAAATGACTGGTGATGAGTGAAGTGGGGGTGGGTTAGCAATAGAACATAGTTAGCCATGTAGCACTAGCTCCAGTCAACCCGGAGCTGCCCTGACAGAGCCACCACTCCTCTCTCTCATCCCCTGTGTGCAGATGTTTTCTGAACATGTGTGTTTTTATAACTTTGTATCATTTATGTATTAGCAGTGCATTTTATGTTAATATAGTTGTTTTGGCTTTTTGCATGACCTTTTTAGCACATTTCAGACATGGCATTTGTGTTGGACTTTTGTTTGTGCTTTTAAATTAATATGGCTTATGAATTCGCTGCACGTTTCTCACAATGTAAGTCATTTCAGCCATTGCAGGATGGCTGCCATTGTTAGCCACTGAACAAACCAACTTCTCCACTTGACTTCTTTCTTTTTTTTTTTAAAGAGCAGGGATTTCTACAAAAAAGATCCCACTGAAAGCACTCCTTGACTGGCATGTTTTAGATACTGACCCCCAGAAACAGTGTGTATGTGGAGATACATCAACACCCCCGACCCTAACCAGACGGATAGAGTGTTTTTCTCTGTTTGCATCTTTAAAGCTTCAGTGACGACTCTCTCCGAGATAATCATCTTTACTGATTGTCACTGTTTATTAAGTGCAGTGCCATGGCTGAAATGTACAGTATTCTGCTGCTGCACCATCGTGATCCAATCGCTGAGTTCGCTACTGAACGTAACTGAAGCCACTTCTTTCTCAAAAGAAGTGAATTTGCTGAAAGAAGTTGATTGTGGCACAGTGAGGTCAGAACTGTGAAACTGTAGGAGGATTGCAAAACCTGAGAACCTGAGGATTTGTGTTTTAAAACACCCAACATATCTAACAGAGAATAACAAGGATGAAAACAAAATCAAAACAACAACGACGACAACAAAAATCTGGCCATATTGAGGATACAGGTTTTTTTTCACCTTCTCATAAATTGTCTATTTATGAAAAGGCACCCATTTTTAAAATATACTGAGATGTTAACAACAACACACAGCTCCAAGTTCCTCTTATAAAAATGCAACAACTTATGTTTAAATGACAAGAAAATATGACAGTATAAGAGTAAGTAGGAACACAGTGATGATTCATGTTTCACCCTGTGTCCCCAAACTACACACTCATCCTGCACTGTGTGTGTTAGACATCCATTGTGCACCAATACATGTGTCAGCATGTGTTATTAATCATTGGATTAATGCACAGCTGATCTAAGAAAAACATTCAATAAAATTACTCAGTGCTAGAGAGGCATCAGGTCCTTTCATTCAAGTGCCTTTGAATGCCTGCAGAGGGCGCTATTATACTACCTGTACAAAATCAGCAACACCCCTGCAAAATAAGTCGTACAGACACACTCACTGTCTTTTTCTCTCTCCAGTCATCATGTATGTAAATGTCAAAAGAGTACACACAGTGTGTGTGTTACCATTAGGTCAGGGGCCATTAGAGGGAAACAAAGGTCTTTGCAGGACTGAGGGCCAGGATGGTGAACCTGCACCTCCTCCCTCAACGGAGAGTTTACTTGACTGTTACCACTTGGTCTTATATTGATAGTTTTCCATCTTTTTAATTGGTCATGGTAACATGGTCACAAAGTTCATTCCTGAGGTCTGAGTGTGTGGCGACAAAACTAGGGTCAAGAAACTGGCCAAGAGTTTATCCATAATATCTAAACCTGTTAGTTTAGAAAGCAGAACTAAAAACAGTTAAATGGAAATGTTGCACCAAAAAAAGAATGTATAGGAAAATTGTGCGTAAGGGTCCAGTATGCTTAAATAATACCCTTTGTACAACATTAGTTTAACATTAGTTTAGTTTAATCCTGTCCTGAAAGGGCCAAACTCCAGAGAAGTGAAGAGGCAGGCTTGAAAGAAAAGTTCAAACCAAGCAGTAACCTCTGGTGTTAAAATTTAAAAAAAAAAAAATTAAGCATAATGCGCAAGTGCAAAAAATTGCAGTTCCTTGAGTGTCCCCAAGAGACAGTCTGCAGAAGCACCTGAAGTCACATACACACCCATTCAGAAATGCCAGTTTTTACAGCATAAATAAACAGGTTTACAGCCTGGTTCACAAAACTTAATTGGTCTGAATAGTTCATGTCTTCATCGGCACACACATTACGAGGGGAGTGAATTGTTATAACTCATTTGTTTTGATTCTGTGAAGTACAAGAGTTATTCATAATAGGAAGTGTGGCTGACCTAACTGACAGGCCCGCCTCAGCTCCGCCTCTTGGCCTGTTGTTAGGTTGACCGAAAGATTGGTTGCAAAAGCATTTCCAACATGGCGTCTACCGTGTTTCTGTACACTGTGATGCATTATGGTTAGCATTAACCCCTTTATTATTTTGTACATTTACATTTGACTTGCTTTGTAGGTTTCTTTTCAAACTGTATGATTGGCTGACCTGCTGTTTCTTGACCTGTTGGTCACGTTGGCTAATTGTTGTTGATGCCACATTCATCCCAGATCTCAGCAATTCACCAGTGAGTAGTTCCATTACTGATGTTAGAAATGATGGAGACAACTTCAATATGATTAAGAACTGGAATTAATCTTGAATAACAAATTAGTCTCACAGAGACCAAAACAGATGGTGTGTTACTACATGCACAGTTCTGAATTTACGAGGGCTGCCTAAACACACCATCAAATATGACCAATCAATGCTTTGAGAAGAGATGAGATAAAAGAGCATGTAAGAGGGGGCACAGGCAGTGTGTGCTCACACACATGAGAAATTAGTGAACTACAGTCCACCCTCCTTGTGTACTTTACTATCTGTCTTTATGTCTTTCTGCTCATTTCACAACTGTTCTAAGTATTTGTGTTTATGTGTCCTAGTGCCTCCTTTTAACTTTCAGGTGCCTGCTTCATTTCAGGTTTTATATTAAATGAAAGGAAGACCAAAAAAAAACAGATACATACATTAATTAAATATACATAAATGAAGCATTGAGACAAACATCAGTGTTCATGAAACAGCAGATTAACATGCCCCCCATTAGTCCACACTAATGGTTTCAAAACAGAATCACAGGTTTCATGTGTTTGATGCAGATCCCACTTAAAGAATTAACACCTAGACTGAAAGAATAAAGATTAAGCAACACCCATGATACAGAATATAAATGATCATTGTTTTTTTCAAGTCTTGCAAAAGATTTTAAACTGTAGGACAATTGTAAAAAATATGATTTCCTTCTGCCTTTTCTTTATTTTTTGGTGTTATAAGTAGATCATTATAAAAAGGCCTACCTACACTATATCAACCAAAGTCAGTGGACACCTGATGGATGGCCCATTATTAAACAGTGGCCATTAATAAGGAAGTGGACTCTCCTTTGAGTTGCTAACAGCAGCCACTCCTTGGAAAAAGCTTTCTACTAGATCTGACGAGCATTGTCCTATACATATAACTGATTAAAAACCAACATTGGAATTGGAACAAAGCATTCTCCTGACATCTGCCAAACCCAGATCTCACACCTTTTGGCTCCAGTTGTGGCATGTTGTATATCAGTCTTGTGACGCTTGCATGCAGCTGCTTGACCATGAAAGCCTGTTTCATGGAGATCTCCTGGCTTTGTGCTGGAATACATGCATGCACCTGATAACAATCAAAAAACCTGAGCTCAGCAATTGTTTGGGCAGTCCATGTGCCTTGGTTAATATAGTGTAGCAAGCAATAGGAATCTACAATACCTATTGAGCTGTACACAAAAACTCTTCAGGGCAGTAGTAAATATATTCTCATTCACACAAGGCTTCATATTAATGCTCACATCTGAGCCCCAAAAGATTCTTCAGTTGTCAGTGTTTTCTCTGCAGCTTATCAGTCTTGTCTTCAAAAGTAAGTCAATATCACTGACAGGAGACAGTGTCGTTCAAAAGTTACCCAGAAAGCGAGTATTTGCTTGGGACTCCGTGAATGAAATGTGACCGAACAGCTTAGACGTCTGTTTCTGGTCAGTGCTGCAGAGTGCAAAAGTCCTGTGGGATATGATGAGCACATCTCTCCAGAAAATCTACACAGCCATACTGTTTAAAAAAAAAATCATGATAGTGGTGTCCACACCATGTTATAGATTTGATATGGATAGTTGCTCTCATCCATTCTTCAAAACCTTTACCTCAACCATCCATTTGGCGTCCCAGACTCTGAAAGTTTCTGTGCTTATGGCTTTACATGCTCGTTTCACAGGGTGGTGTCAGGCTCCCGTCAAGAGCCACATGATTTTCTCGTCTCTCTCCCCTCTGTTCTGCTGCCTCCCTTCCTTCACCTTCCAACCCTCTCTCGATGGTTACTAGCTCCTGGATGCAGTTGAGTGGGCTAGCTTTAGACGACAGTGGGCTTACGCTGCTGCTTGAGCCAACAGCAGACCTCTCCATGTGATTCCTTCCCTGGTGGCTTAAGCCAGTGTGCTGCCCTTCACCTTCTAAGCTTCTGCCTGCTGAGCCCTCACCTTCCCTCTGGGAGTTGCTTGGACTGACAGATCTCTGTGACAGAGAAGGAGATTGCAGGACTGCCAACGGAGACTTAGTGTCCTGCGTTGCAGAGCCAGGAGAGGGAGAAAACCTGGGAATCAATTCTTCTGAAAGTAGTTGAGCACCCTTGGTTGAACCAGTGGCAGCTTGGGTCATCACAGGTGCCATCATAGCCATAAGGACGTCATCTTTAGCTTCAATTAAATCAACCTTGAGGGCCCTTGTCTTTTGAGGGCTTTTATAATCTCGCATGGAGCTGCTAATGGTGTCATAGGTCACCCCAAGATTATCCCCTCTCTGTTGCCCCAAACCCGCATCTGCAGTCGCGCTTTCTCTTGACTTGGAAACAAATTCATATAAACCCTCTTTGATGATGCCCATCGGCTGGATGTTGTCCACGCCTCGGTTCGCCTCAATGTTGCTGATCTGACTCAGATCCAGTGGAGGGGGGATGTTCTGATATTTACCACCAGTTTGACCTGCTTCAGTACTGGGAAGCTTTGAGCTCCTTTCTCCTCTCTCCAATAACAAATCTTCATCTACTCTAGAGAATCTTCTGACCGTGCTGAGATCTGGAGAGATTTTCCGGGATTGCGTCGACGTCAAGACTTTAACCTCCTTCTTCTCTTCAATTTTTTTGTCCTGCTGCTCTGAGAGACTTGCCTTCTCCGTGTAAGTGTCGTCCATTCGCTTTGGGTTGAGATGTTGCGGGGTAGTTTTGTTGGATGAAAGTTTGAGTCGTTCAGGGGAGCCACGCTGAGCCACTTCTTGGTAATGTGAATGTGGGGTTTTTGCTGGGCTACCAACCTCTGCATTAGAGTAGTGTTTGTGGTAGCTCCAGCGGCTGGGCGACAGGTGATTGTCCACAGGACATTTACTGTCCTCTCTCTTTTCCACTAACACATCTGTCAGTTCCATACTACGTGCAAAAGCATCCTTAAGATTAATAGATATGATGCTTCCACTTCGTTTGGCTCTCTCAAGTGCTTCCCTCCTCTTAATGGCCTTCTCCTGCCTCTTCTGCTCTCGGTAGAACTCAGAGAAGTTGTTGACAATGATCGGGATGGGGAGGGCAATGACCAACACGCCTGCTATGCAGCAGAGTCCACCTACGATCTTCCCCAGCAGGGTTTGTGGGTAAATATCTCCATAACCAACAGTGGTCATAGTTATGGTGGCCCACCAGAAGGAGGCGGGGATACTGGTGAATTTGGTGGCGTCCTCGTCCTTCTCAGCAAAGAACACCAAGCTAGAGAAGATCATAATGCCCATGGCAAGGAAGAGGATCAGCAGGCCCAACTCATTATAGCTCCTTCGCAAAGTGAAGCCCAATGACTGCAGCCCTGTCGAATGCCGGGCAAGCTTCAGGATCCTCAGGATTCTCATTATTCTGAAGATCTGGACCACTCGGCGCACGTTCTGGAACTGCAGCACACTCTTGTTGGATTCAGTTAGGCAGAGAGTCACATAGTAAGGCAGTATAGCCAGTAAATCGATGATGTTCAGGGGGGCTTTGATGAAATCCCACTTGACAGGTGCAGAGAGCAAGCGGAGCAGGTACTCCATGGTAAACCATGCAATGCAGACGGCTTCCACGTGAGCTAGGCTGGGGTTGTCATTGAACTGTCCAAATTCATCCACAACCTGGAGCTCCGGCAGGGTGTTGAGGGACAACGAGATGGTGGAAATGATAATGAACAGGATGGAGATCATCGCCAGTACCTGCAAGACAAAGACAAGATTTTGGGTCAATGTGGTAGCATATTTGTTGTTAAGTAAACATCTTTATTTTTACTTAAAACACGTAAAGAAAGTAGAACTTGATATATTGGGACTAAAACATTTACAGACATAAACAAGTGTGGACCAAAATGACTGTAAGGATCCCCAAACTCTTGCTGACTTTTTACTTTTTTTTATGACAATTAATTGATGGATCTGACTGCCTTTGGTCCCTATCTAGTGACTATTTATTTGAAATATATATGGTGCAAAACTAGTAAGTTCAAAGTTACTGTAACTGTCATTGTCCCAACTTTGCTCTGCAACAGTAGTCATATGTGTATTTAAAAAGCTACAATATTTTGCTCTGTGTGCATGAAACGTTTTCATTGTAAAAAATATGTTCCTTCTTTATATAATATTAAGATAAAACTGTAAGTCAACTCTCCAGTTAACCCAACACATTTCAATAAGATTATCTAATCTCAGTTAGTAGTCATACACTTTTTCCATTGTTTAAAATTCTATGAACTCGAATTAAAAAAAAAGTCTTCGTATAAAAATAATCTTCATAATGCCATTTTATACAAAGACAAAAGCTTCTGATTTAAAAAACATTTGTAAACTTAAAAAAAGACTGTAGCTCAGAGCTGATTGTAAAGCATTTAATTGTGAAACATTTCACCCATCCATCAATCCATCCATCCACGGCTACAACCTGGCTTATTAACATGTTTATGTTAGTTGATGTGCACTGTCCCTATTTGAAATAAATAAATAAATACAGTGGATCCATCCATCAATTTATATAATCCATATATCCATTTAAAAGGTCAAGCCATCCATACATGCATCCGTTTCTTTTCATCCATATTTCCATCCATCCATTTCAACAGTCAATCCATCCATCCATCCATCCATCCATCCAACCATCCATCCAGCCATCCATCCATCCATCCATCCATCCATCCAACATGGGGATGTTCAGTCATGAAACATGATGTCATCCACTGTAACAGTCACAATCATTTTTTTAAACCTGTCTTCCAACTTCATCAATGTAGCTTGTACTATGAAAAACAAGCTCAACATGCAGTCAAGGATCTATTTACAGAGTTGTGTCAAGACAATCTAAGGTGTCACAGTTTCTTACATTCTTGTATTTAAAAGTTGTATCCTAAAGTCTCACAGCAAACTGTGCTAGAGTGAAAGACAGCAACACTATTGTTTGCATCTTAGGTCCCACCTTTGATAGCAGATAGAAAGTCATTATTCACAAGATAGCACCTGGAGTGGCTAATCAAGATTTCAGGGATTGCCCAAAACCAATCTATGATCAATGGTGCAATAAGCTCTCAGATCATTTTGCCTTTGTAATATAGTTGCACATAGTGGAGATAGTTTGAACTTGTTACTCAGAGCTATGAAGCTAAGGATGTCTGACACAATCAGGCTTTGCAGAGGGTGACAAAGTGATTCTGAGAGGGTGAAACTATTAATGAGAGAGAACTTCATACAAATGTTGTTCTCTCTTTTGAAAGGTTTCGTTTTTTTTCTCACATGGGGTAATTATCATCTGTGGTATTGGAATGGTAAAACTCTATTCAAACCACCTAAACAGTTTGAGGTTAAATCACCTTCAGTGGAACAGCTAACAAATCAAATCAACAGAAACCTGTAACATGGACTCACAACTAATCAACGTTGTTGTCTTTATGTAAAGAGGTTTTACACTGTATTTATTGTTATAGTCAAAATTCAAACAATACTAGTAATGAGTTGTATAAAATGCAAATACTCATCATATTAAATCATACTAAAGTACCCTACTTGACCAAATGTCGTTATTTGCTCAAATTAAATATGCTTGCTAAGTGGTTGCTAATGTAGCCACACTGGGTGACTTTTAGAGCATGCTTCTTGCATGCTTTAAAAGTCTCTTTGAGTTACTGGTCAATCTTTTTCTTTTAGTTATTAATACATTTCTAGTAAGACATGAACAGTGTGTGTTATATCTGAGATGCTCCTATACTGATCCCGCCTGATTTGAAGAGTCATAAGTCCTCTGAAAATGGACTACAGAGATTCCACTAACTAAAAAAGATGGAAACTCTGATGTCGAGTCAAGTGAGGTAGCTGAAGCATGTGCGGTCTGAATGTTCTCCCTGCAGTATGCTCACTAGGACATTTCAGGATAATTGTAATAGGATTGTGATGCTATCTATAGAAAGGATAGAGAGAAGTTAGAAGTGTTTACTCATTCTTTCCTACCCCCATCCGGTAGAATCGTCAGAACAAGAAACACATTTTTATTAGGTGAACTGACAAAAACTGTGAGTGTCTATTTCTAAATGAGTTTCTAAATGAGACTGTGTTACCGTTACCATTTCTTTTCACCTGAAAAAGTACACTGATGATGTAAAAGCACATGCATAACATGCATAGTTATGTCAATGCATGAAACCTTTCAGGCTTCTTAAGAAAACTCTCAGACTTTTACTGAGTCCAAATGTAGCCCACAGGAAAATAAAGCAATAAAGTCCAAATAGCCATGATGAGCACGGTCCCTGTCACAGTGTTATATCATATATTGTGTTTGCAGTAAATATTCAGAGTCAAGTTTTGATATGCATGGGCGTCGACAGGGGGGAAAGTGAGACTGACAACCCAAGGCCCCAGTGGAGGAGGGGGCCCTGGGTAGTCAATCTCACCCAGTCCAGCTCAGTCTGTAGGGACTTGGGTCAGGGCTGTGGGGTCGCCAGTTCACATCCCAGTACAGACCAAAGTTTATAAAGTGGTCTTGTTGCTTGAGAGTTGCCTGTTCACGTCCCTGGTACTGCCAATGTGCCCTTGAGCAAGGCGCCAAATCTCGAACAGCTCAGGGAGTTGTGTGCCGCCCACACGCTCTGGCATCTTTCCGTAGGTCGTTTTTGTGGCTGTGCGTATCGCTAAGATTGAATAACTAAAAGTTAACCTTATGCAATATTTCATATTTAATGGTAAAATGTCAATTTTAAGTTGTAACCAGACAATTACGTCCTCGTATGAATAAAAGCAGTGTATCGTGTATATGTCATGTGATCTCAGTTTTAGTTGTAATACTATGATGGAGAATAAACAGTGTATGGCTGAAGTCCATGTTGAGACACCCTGCTGTACTTGTACTAAACAGTTCTCTCATTCAACTGTGAAACAATTAGATTGAAGGGAAAAGCCAGACTCTTTGAGAAAAAGCACAAACGTGTTCATATTTTGAATCTGTCTAATAAGAATACAGTTTGTAACAAAAAGACAAAGTGAGCCTTCCTGTTCAAATAAATGATCTTTTGGTTCTAAAGTGTCTCCGAAGGGGAAGGAGTTATTTACCTCTAATTATTTCATTTTTATTAATAAATACAAACTGTAATTTCATCTACAAGTGATTTATTTACACCATGTTTAGTTTTATAAATAAATAAGTGAAGTCACATAATGACTGCAAATGCCATCTCAGTGAAACAAAACAATTGAGTTTCTTAATAAACTAATTTAAAGAATATAGATATGTGTCTTTGAAAAGTATTCATCATACCTGTTTGTGTTATTACTTCACTTAATATCCCAGCACATTTTGTTTTTACCAATGTCGCCCTCATTTTGTATAAAATGTGTGACATCATCATTACACTACTATTACATTTCCTGTCTGTATAATTCTTTCATGTAAGCTAATTTTCCTGCCTTCTCTTTAAAATTCTTTGCTTTTCCTCTCTCTCAAAAGCAATAATAATCAGTAACCGTATATACTAATTCCATTTTATTTTATGTTAATTATGTTAAATTTAAAGGAACATTTTTCTTTGATGTCACAGAGATAATGTGCCTCTCAGAGAGTCAGAAGTCAATTAATGTCCAAATACCGTCAGGATAAATTGATTAACTGTGAGCTATTTGTGTGCTGTTGACAAATGATCCGTTGAAAAAGAGAGTCTGCATCGTGGTTAAAGTTTATTCTTTTTTTTTCTTCTTCTGCTTAGATAGCTGCCACATTTGACTCAAGGTTCAGTATCCTGGAAATCATGAGATAGGAGGATTGCCTCGTCTGTTTCTGGAGGATTGAAAGTCTGGCCTTTGAGAGTCATGTCAGAGGACACAGAGTATTACAACATTACATAGCGGACACTATTTCTGCGGCTCTACAATCCGTACTCAGACACAGTGACGCTTGTTCTTTATGTCACAAACAGATTTTAAGAGAAAAAACTGCAAAGGCAGGCAGACAAGATATCCCAAACTGTGATCAAAGGAAAGAAGGGCGAGGGAGACGGTGGGTTGAAAAAGCCAAAGAGAAATAGAGGGCAGGTGTATCAAAGTGTGTCCACCCTGCAGCGTCTTAATGGCTTAATGGCTGCCAAATGCAGTGACCTTGGCACCCGAGGCAGAATTAAAGGAGTACCAGGAAAACACAAGCTGCTTTAGAAGCTGTTCATCAAGAGGAAGTATTAATGGAGACTCCACATTCAAGATACAGACGCTGAAAAAGAAATGAACTTGACTCAGCTGAAAAACATTCTTCAAACAGAGTGCAAATCTGAGGAAAGCCAGGATTTGTGACGCTGTGTGCCTTCCTCCGAATCCAACAAGTACAACAAATGTGACGTCTTTTTGATGACATGTGTGGAAGTGGGATCCCCCCGCACCCTTAATTTGGCAGTCTGAATTAATTGGATAAACCGGCCTTAGTTTCTAGATGATATCTAAAGGATGAGTCCAAGTGTTTTTTGTTTGCCCAAAACTTTTAGTCTTCTGAGAAAAAACAAATGGGTGAAAATTATGAAAAGATTTTTCCTCAGTTTGAGAAGTCAGAAAAGTGGTGGAGGAGTTGACTGTCACTGATACTTGGATGTTAAAGAAGGAGAATATGAGATTATTTTAGCTCGTCAATAAGCATCTTAATGTTTTATAAAGGATAGGTGATGCTGAACAGACTTAAAACCTGCCTCCTTACTACAAGGTGGAAA